AACATAATTAACCCTAGAACACTAGCCATCAATTAAAGTTAGACCAATACTAACCATGGGTATATCATACTCGATTTTGAAAATATCAAAAAAAAATATTAAATATAAATCTTTATTTGAATTATTTTACATGCAGGCACTTCAAACTTTGTACTTTGAGTTAACATTAATAGGAACTGAAAAATATTATTTAGGTAAGATAATCAGGTAGTGAAAATTGTAATTAAAAATAGGAAAATTTGCGCTGGGTACTATATACCCATGGTTAGTGTTCTAGGGCTAAGAAGAGAGAACAAAAACAGGGATTCAAAATACAGAAGATAACGATTGGCATTGCATTTAAATTTTTGAAGAACAGAGTTGGCTTGAAACAAAGAAACCGGAAGTGACTTCTGCAAGCGACGAGTGCAATAGAAGAAACTGTTAGCATAGAACTTACGGTTAAATCTACCTAATTCAACTGTAAAATGATGAAGCATGGGCGCCAATCTAGTATTATGCTTAAGGCTCACAAAGGATAGGTGTCATGGAGGAAAGTAATCTTTATTTTTGTTGAATATAAAACAAATGTAGGCCAAGGCCTAAAGGGAGAGGCTGGAAGAAGGTTGGTCTTCAATCTGTTTTATCTAAAACTTAGCTAACCACAAACAATGACCCCAAAAAACTACAATATTCCTTGCACCAAATCGTCCGGAATATGACGATAAAACAACACCCACAGCAAGGTCGCTGATCAGGGGGTTTTGAGGAACGTGGAACCACCTCTTAATTACTGGTGCTCCCAAGTTCTCTCTGACCCGGGGTGGTAGCATCTGTCTGGGTCCTAGCTATGGGCAAAGAGTTAACACCTCAAAAAGGGTTAAAAAAAAACTATGAAAGTATAAAAATAGGTTTTAATACCAACAATACATTTTTGGAAAAAAAAATGCTTTCGCAGAACAATAATAAAAAAAGGTTTCCAGCGCATGAAACCTGAATGTGTTAGCAAACACCACTTGTTTTTTTAAAAGCTCGACTGGCGCTACAGAATCGCAAACAAAGAAATGTACCTGTACCAAATAACAAAAACTGTATCGCTTGAATACGTTCAGCAACTAAAATGGATTGGACATGAAACTATAATCAAGAGGCTAACATTTCAAACGATTTTAAAGAAAAAATGAGTTACTAAGTATCCAACTATATTGAAAAAAAGAAGAAAACAGTGCGATTGCGAAATCTATTTTTCAGAATAATTATATATTTAGAAAGGTTTTATAAATTTCTGACGTGAGTAACATCAGCTGCTCGGTCAATGAACACCAAATGAATACCAATGAATACCACAATGAATACCACAATGAAAACCACAATGAATATCAATGAATGCCACAATGTATACCACAATGAATACCAATGAATACAACAATGAATGCCACAAAGAAAACCAAACGAATACCATAATGAATACCAATGAATACCACAATGGATACCAAATGGATGTCAATGAATACAACAATGAATACAACAATGAGTGCCAAATGAATACCAAGGAATACCACAATGTATACCACAATGAATACCAATGCATACTACAATGAATGTCACAATGAATACCAGAATGAATACTAAATGTTTTCATGAAAGAAAACGGTTAATATTATCATTACCAGTAGCATTACCAATACTAATGTCATACATATTCTCTCACTCACTTTCTCTACAAACACACACACACACATACACACATATGGACACACACATATGGACACAGGAGTACAAGCACACCTATACTATTTCTACTAGCAATACTAATAATGAAAATAATAAAAATGATCAGGCTGTCAGAACCTGTTCGTAGCTCTCCAAAAACATTGATTTGTGTAACAAAGTCTTGATAGTATATGCATGTCAATTTGGAATGATCTACCTCCGTCTGTTTCTTATCTATCTATCTATCTATCTATCTATCTATCTATCTATCTATCTATCTATTTAGCTAGCTAGCTACCTAGCTATGTATCTAATTCAGTCTCTTTCAATTTGTGTATTTATCTATCCATACCTTTACTGCTTGGGCTTTTAAGATAGAAATAAATAGCCAATCATGGATTTTCTGATGTTAGAGTTGTTCCAAATGGCAGGGTTGACATGGCAACTATTTTTTCCTGACAGTTTTTCAGTTGCTTTGAAAATGCTCGTACAGAAGAAAACGTTGAAAACAAAATTAAAAAAAAAAAAAAAATTCAACTGGTTTTCACGACCCTCCCCCTTATACTAATAGTAATACTCGGTTGGGAAAAAGCCTCGGATAGCACAACTTGCAAGTCTATAAAGACAAATTGGTACCCGAGGAAAAAATTGGAAAAAAAAGTAAGAAGTAGAAACATCCGAACAGGGCGAAAGAAATTGTCCAGTGCCTCAAGTTTTTAGTCCAAAGAAAAAACCAAGCGAGAATGTAGGTGCTCAATACGTTAAGTAGAACTGGGATAAATAAAATAAATCCTAAATGGGATTTATTATTATATATATATATATATATATATATATATATATATATATATATATATATATATATATATATATATCAGTAATTGAATGACAAAATGGAAAAATCATATGTAATGTATTTCCTCTTTCAAAAGGACTTCTTCAGAATAAATACATTTTATTGATCGAATCAAATATATGTCAGACGCTAGAAAGAAAGAATAAAAAAAACTTTGGTTATAATTAAACACTGACAGAAACGTTGCGATTGTCGGCATACACGACACAGAAATTAGTGCACTTTCTATATATTTTCGTCGTAATAAAATATTTTGTCTTTTAATTAAAATTGCATCCTTTAAGTCGTAATTATGGTCAGATTTATTCATCAAGAATTATAGATATATTATATATTAGGAAATCTAATGACAAAGTGTAAAAAGAGCAAGTAGGGACTTTTTTATGTATGTTGGTTATAATTATGGCTAGAAAGGATACGCCGATAATACTGTCATTAATTTTCCTGATATTGTTCTGATATATAAAAAATATAATTATTCTCCCATATATTTCCATGAAAGTATTTGTAGAACAGACAGAGGGAGGCGACGGCGCGTCTGTGATAAAGTGACTGTCTCGTCTACAGTCTCATGGAAATTGCTCCAAGGAGCTGCATTCGCTGGTTCCCAGACGTCATGAGTTCCAGCGCCTTACGAGGCTGGCATCCCGCTCTCACCCCTTCACTGTCGAAACTCCTAAATGTAACCGTCTCTTCTACTCCAATAGCTTCATGTCTCGCACCTCTCGCCTGTGGAACTCCCTTCCCTTCTCCTGTTTCCCTGTGAGCTATAATCTCCAGCTATTCAAGTGTAATGTCAATCGACATCTCCAGTTGCCTTGATGTATCCACTACCCCCATCCTTTCTTCTATCACTCCTATCTGATCTTGCTCTAAACTTTCTGTAACCCCTTGCGTCCTAGTGGCTTCCTGCCTTGCTTGGGGTGAAATGCTTAAAAAATATACATATATAGGTCTGTGTGCGCATAATCATATATATATATAAGGAATTTTATGATATATATATATAAAGACATTTTTATGTTTATACATTCTTTTTAAGATACAAATATTTAAGTAAATGCACTGTTTATAATAAACAGTATTAAACAACATTTACTGGCCTGAATGTCCGAGAAATTTTCACAGAACGCTCCTTGGCCAAATCGGTAAAGGCATATCATGCTAAATGACGGTTCCGTATAGGATACAGGTCCGAATCCTGTCGGAGATCGGATATTTTCTGTGAAAATTTCTCGGACATTCAGGCCGGTAAATGTTGTTTAGTACTGTTTATTATAAACAGAGTATTGACTTAAAAATATATAAGAATATATATAAATAAATAAATGGAATTATATGATATATATATATATATATATATATATATATATATATATATATATATATATATATATATAAACATATATTATTAAATATAACAGACAATGAATATCGATTATGTTTGATAATGAGCCGATCTAAACTTTGTATGGTTGCTTTAATTTCGGGTGAAAATAAAGACAAAAATTGTCCGACATTTGGATATTTTTTTTATGTTCCTTGATCTAAGCTTTTAGAAGGCATGAACCATCTCCATAGTCGCCATACGGACATTTACACAAAGATATTCACCATCAAAGACAATATTCTGTTATGGTGAATAGCGGAACAGCAGACGCAGGTCGTAAGTTCAAGATGCGGTTCTATGACGTCAAACCACGCGATAGGCCAAAATATTAGTAACAGAACCATATGTCTAGATGCAATGTAATGTGTTGTGACTAGTTTGAAATGTAATTTTGTTGAGTGTGGTTAGCAATATATATCTGAATAATGATCTGCTGATATATATATATATATATATATATATATATATATATATATATATATATATATATATATAAAGCTAGTGAGGTTTTGGCTAGGTAGGTTTGTATGGCTCACTAGGTTTATCTAGGTCTGCTCTACCGTTGTATTGAGCTCTTTTGTTAGTTAGTTGTTTACCCGTGTCGGGGTTTTTTTCTTTGGGCTTTAAATCTGCATCTGTGCGATTTTTTTTCGACAGACTTTCATGTTTGTAGCTCTTTCTTTTTTTAAAACCTTTTTTCCCTCGAGATTGATTTGATTATTGGCAAATCAAAATTCGAGGGTTTTTCGAAAACAGTATAGTTATCTATATATTTGCATATATATATATATATATATATATATATATATCTGTGTGTGTATGTGTGTGTATGTGTGTGTATCGTTCTTGATGTAGACACCATTAAGATCATTGTTAATTTTGCTGAGACAAGGGAACAGTACCGCCACAATTTTGTTGCACTTTCCTGTATCTGTCAATTTTAGACGACGAATGAAAATTAATCATCAAAATCATAGAGCTGGGAACAGCGAGAGGGTCGAAAGAGAGAAAGAGAGAGAACAAAAGAGAGCGAAAGAAAACTAGAGAGAGATAGAAAGATAGTTAGAAAGAGAAAGAGAGAAATATAGAGAGAAAGAGAGATAGAAAGAGAAAGAGAAAGAAAGAGAGAAGTAGAGAGAGAAAGAGAGAGAAAGAGAGAAATATAGAAATAAAGAGAGAAAGAGAGTGAGAGAAACCGAAAGAGAGAGAGAAAGAGAGAGAAGAAAGAAATGTAGAGATAGAATTAGAATTAGAAAGTGAAAGGGAGAAATATTGATAAAAAGAAGATAGAAAAAGAGAGAGAAAGAGAGAAAGAGAAAGAGACAGAGAAAGAGAGATAGATAGGGAAAAGGAGAGAAGGAAAGCGAGATATAAAGAGAGAGAGAGAGAAAGAGAGAAAGAGAAAGAAAGTTTGAGAGAGATAGAAATAGACTTAGAAAGAGAAAGAGAGAAATAAAGAGAAAAAGAGAGAAATAGAAGTAGAGAGAGAAAGAGAGATAGAAAGAGAAAGAGAGAAAGTCAGATACAAAGAAGAAATAAAAATACACATAGATAGATAGATAGATCTGAACAGACTGAGATAGATAGATAGATAGATAGATAGATAGATAGATAGATAGATAATAAACAGACTGAGAGAGATAGATAGATAGAGAGAGAGATAATAAAGAGAGATAGATAGATAATGAAGAGAAAGAGATAGATTGATATATAGATAGATATGAACAGACTGAGATAGATAGATAGATAATGAAGAGAAAGAGATAGATAGATAGATAGATAGAGAGAGAGAGAGAGAGAGAGATAATGAAGAGAAAGCGATAGATAGATAGAGAGAGAGAGAGAGAGAGATAATGAAGAGAAAGAGATAGATAGATAGATAGATAGATAATGAAAGACATAGACAGATAGATAGATCGATAGATAGATAGATAGATAGATAGATAATGAAAAGACTGAGATAGATAGATAGATAGAGAGAGAGAGAGAGAGAGAGAGAGAGAGAATGGTTGATTCAGAAATAATATGAAAATTTAAAACTCGCCAACCCACCTGATCGAATTCCGACATCTTCGCAAATGTTTAATCCGTGAACACTGTTAAAATCTCTGATTCGGAAAGTGACGCTCGGAATCCACTGCTGTTGGCTCCTGTGTCAATACCGATTCTGAAGGTCTTGGATTTCCTGGAAAGAGAAAATGGAAAACAAAAATGACGATGGATAATTACATGACTGCATTCTGGATCTGATAGCATACTGTCATTTGTGTATATCGATTTGCTGTGCGTTAAATGGGGCGAGGAATAGCAAATATGTCGAGAAAATCCTGCACGTGAATTTAATTTAACAACCTTTTGGCAATTTCATGGTAACTCTCAACGATTGAGGTTTCAGATGACAGGAACTGAAGTATCAGTCGACAAAGTATCGACACTGAACTTTTTTTTTTTTAATTCAATGCATTATTTTAAACCTTTTCTAATCATTTATTTCCTAAGGAAAACCCACTTCGAATTGATATACACTGACGTGACAAAAGTCATCTTTAAATGAAGCGGATTATGCCGATTAAATACTTTCGTCCGAATATTAAATTTTTATCTCTGCCAGTCTGAGGTTTATCAACAGCCTCGTCGATCCCCCGTTCCAAAACGCTGACCTTACATTCTCATCTATGATGTGTGTGACTCCCCGTCTTTTCTCATTTCATGTGATATACACGCTGGTCCGAAAGTCTTGTCACTCGTATATAATATGATTTTGTTTTTTTATTTCAACGCACTTTGGAATATTATCAAGGAGATAGTTTTACATGAATGATACCAGAATACCAATCAGTTGAAGGACGCTGTTTGGATAGCCTTTGCAATAATCAACAAAGCACGGCTTCGTAAAATATCACACAGGACATGACGCGGCAACATTCTGTGCTATGAAAATGGTGTCCATACAGACCTTCTCGATGTGTGACAGCGTCAATGAAAGTGAATAAACTGAATCCTGTACATGTGGTTTGTATTACTGTGTTAATTATTGTTCTTCGCTTCTCATTAGGGTTTGGTAGGGGGTAACAAGACTTTCGGTCCACATTGTAAAATATGAAACAAAACATGGCGCCGAATCATTTTGTGCCAATGATGGATGTTCATACAGACCTTCTCGATGTGTGACAGCGTCAATGAAATTTGACAAACTGAATTCAGCACATGTGCTTTGTATTTTTTTTTAAGCATTGTGCCTCAAGCAAGGCGTGAAGCCACTAGGATGCAGGGGGTTGCGGAAGATTTGGAGCGAGAGCAGATAAGAGTGATAGGAGAAAGGAAGAGGAGAAAGGATAGTGGGTAGATCAAGGTAATTGGAGATGTCGATTGACATTACATTTGAATAGTTGGAGATTATAGCTTTCAGGGAAACGGTAATTGGGGAGGGTGTTCCACTGGCGAGAGGTGCGAGGTATGAAGCTATTGGAGTAGAAGAGACGGCTACATTTGAAGGTTTCTACGGTGTAAGGGTGAGAGCGGGATGCCAGCTTGAATTCATGGAGTCTGGGAACCAGAGAGAGCAGCTCATCAGAGCAGTTACCATGGAAGTATTTGTAGAAAAGACAGAGAGAGGCGACGGCGCGTCTGTGAGAGAGTGACTGCAGACAAGACGCTAGATCAGTGCTCCAGCCCATATATGGCAACAATACTCCATGCAAGGGCGAATATTACTGTCTTACTTGCTCTTCTATTGTACTCATTAATTTTTGGTTGGTGATAAGAAGAATTTCGGACCACACTTTATAATGATGTGCCAAAAGTGAGAGTACAGTGAAGTGGGTTGTGTAGATTAAATGATAACGCGAGACTTTAAGCTTTCCTTCTTTATATTAAATTTTATTCACCCAAATATTTCGTTAGTATTTTGTATTGTTGAAATTATCGCTAACATTTTTGCGCGAGATTTACAGTCACTTCGTTTTGTTCAATCTCGCAAACTAATCAATGAAATTTAAATAAGTTCATTTTTTTGGAAAAAAAAATACTTTGACAAAAGCCCTACTTTGCGGTTTAATAATGTTGTAACCGAGGGAAGGTTACTGAATAGAATAATCACACGACGGTTGGTAATGAACGATAATACTTAGGACAAGAACAACACATATAAGATTCGCCAGCGGCGCGTAGAAGTAGTAGTCAACTGCTAGAAGTGAGTCAAGTGAATTCCACAATGAATCTCCAACTGCAGGATATCTACCAACCGCTCCACGTGGTCAGATGTAGCACAGGGCGGAATTTTTGTGTGGGGTAATCCGAGCCCGTAGGCTCTTCCAAAAAATCCCCGTAGACCCCGAATAAAACGGGGTCGGGTAGCTGTTTCCCAAGACTATGCCCCTTGACACCGCCCCCGTCTGGGGATCCTCTTTGTTCTGAAGCAGAGAGTTTGACCAGCACAGCTGGAAACGAATCTCCAAATGCAAGTTATCTACCAACCGCCCCACGCAGTCAGATGTGGCACAAGGCCGAATTTAATGTGGGGTATCCGAGCTCGTACAGTCGGCCAAAAATTCCACGTAGACCCCATATAAAACGGGGTCGGGTAGCTGTTTTCCGAGACGAGATTCTGCCCTTCGGCATAGCCTCATCTGGGGATCCTCTCTTCCCCGAGGCAGAGTGTTTGACTAGCACAGCTGGAGACGAATCTCTAACTGCAGACCAACATACAGTATTTACTATTGTATTTATGTAAATGGGGACATATCCATTATCGTCTGTACGTGTGCTACAACAAATAATTAATTTAATTTCATAAGAGTTCAGGGTACAAAATATTTTTAAAGAAAATTTATTTTTTTCCTTTTTAACAGCGAATAATAAATTCTTACAGTTTCTTACTCTTGAGCATGCAACATGTAACTGGCCATGCGTAAATATTTTCTCTGGAGCCAGATTCTACCTTTCTGAAGCGTTTGACCTTGTAATTTGGTTATAGTTCTCACAAACTCTGTGCGAACTGGAAATTGGATTCTTGAATATATAGAAAGTTATAGAAGAGATATACAAAAAAACAATATTGCATTTTTATAATATAAGTGGTTGTTATTTTAAGCATTAAATTGTTTTTAAGATAGGGGGGAGTATTTTTTATGTTAAATAGAACTTTTAATTTTTCCCCCAAAAAAAGAATGAAAATTTATTGTACTAAGCCACGCACCCTAGTAAAACTAACTGTACTTTGTACCCCCTCATCCGATTGCACTTGTTCCCAAAATTTGGTTTCGATCGACCAATATATGGGTATTTTAGAGAGTGCGACGGACGGACAGACGGAATAATGGAAGTCACAGAATTTTATATAGAGATAGATAGAATCGGCATAAGCGATAAGGGAAGGTTTTGGAAGCGCGGCAAATAATCAGATTTGATAATGTCCGTTTCCAGCTTAGCGTTTGCTCACTAAATCCATCGTGTTAGTTGAAGAAAGGGTGACCTGTATTTGCGGTTTGTGATGTGGATATGTCAGCCAATCGTACCCTTAATCAATGGGTTTGTGGCCAGTTTGCCGCGTCCTAAATGAGTTCCAAGCAATCACAACGGTTATGAACAACAAAGAAAAGAGAAAACGAATCAAAAATTAGACTTCATGTAAAATATGATCAAAAACTGCATTTACATCGTCCTTTAAAGATGTGGCCGGGATTGACAGTAACTGTTCTATATTAAAGTTCTAGACACCTTTGAAAAACTACTGAAATCGGTTATTGCTAAGCATATTTTGATAGTGTAAAATTTCCCATTTCCATATTTTGTACAATATAAGATATCTGTTTAAGCTCACCGATCGAATTTTACAGTGAAGCTTTGCACTTACGTATTGAAATCGGCGTAATACTTTCAGTTCGGCTTTACTTTCATATCGTGCCTACCTTTGGAAAAAGCATGAATCCACTTTTCCCTCAAAGTGTAGGTAGATAGTAAATCATTTGTGGCGTATATGGCACTTGGGGCTTATACGGCAACGCATCTTGTGTGTTGAACAAACAATCCGAAAAGAAACCCTATCTTTTGCAAAGATTGCTTTGTTATTTTTTTTAAGGTTTATTAAACGTTGCAGGTTATTTAAAGCCAGGAAATTATAATAATGATTTACTGTTTCAATTTTTTACTAATTAACCCAATACTGGGGAGCGAATAGGTGGATTCATACTTTTCCCAAGGGTATTTGAGTGCAAGTAAATATAACATACCCGACTGGATTTGGAATTCAGCTTTCCGTTTAAAATTTCGGAGCCGTTATCAATTACACCACCCGCACATCCAAGCTTATATCACCCGGTATTCGCAAGCGGTCAGCCATCTAGGTACTGACCAGTTTCGACGTAGCTTAACTTCGGTGATCATACGGGATTTCAATTCGACTTTACGTTCACTTCGTGCCTATCTTTGAAAAAGGCATGAATCCACTTTCCCTTCAAGCTGTAGGTAGATAGTAAATCATTTGGAGCTTAGATGGCATTTGGGGCTTATACGGCAACACAACTTGGGCGTCTCGCAAACAATCCGACAATAATCCCTATCTTCTGCAAAGATTGATTTGTTTTTTTTTCTTTGGTGATGATTATATGGGAACATGTGCTTCAAAGAGATATGACTGTGAGCCCTTTGACAAGGAGACTAATTTTATATTTTCGATGTTGAAAATAAAGTGAAAAATTATAGAAAATATCTTTAATTAGAGAAGAGCTATTTTTATAGTTGTGTATGTCCAGAGGGAAATGATCTGGTTATTGAGCATCAGGACCTGTATACACGAATACTGTTTGTCAATAAAAGAATATGTTATGCTGACTGTGCATTTGAATTATTCACGAGCGATTTTATTTTTCGATTATTTAATAGCATTTCAAGCGGGATAAAAAAAAAATCAACTAACATTTCTTCGAGTTTTACGTAGAAAAAAACGTGGTTCTGGTTTGGTTTATTTTATGATATATCAACCTCAATGTGTTATTTTATGCTGGCAAGATATTTAGGATACGTTCGTATGAATAGAATATGTATTCTTTCGAAGAAATCACTTTGTAGAT